AGGTATGACATATTTAAAATTTGAGAAATAGAAAATTTGTGGCATGTCTATTTGAAAAACAAGTAAAGAGTTTCTTCTAACTTAAGCAATATTCTTCGACTACAAAACACGTTCAATTTCTTCACGTGAATCATTTTGGACCATCTAGAATCACAAGCTCAAATGATAGGCATTACGCTTCGTCGTTAGTAATGACTATTCTAGATTTCTTGAGTCCTATTTTTGAACCTAAAGCATGAAACTTTGAATCATTTAAACATCTTTGAAGAAATGTTCAAAATGAAAAGGGATACACTATTCTATGTTTGAAGTGATAATGATGGAGAATTTGATGATTTTGATTTTGATTATTTTTGCAAAATTGATGGCTATGAACATTATTTTTTGGCTCCTAGAACTCTTCAATAAAACGGTGTAGTAGAAAGGGGGAATCATACATTGTTAGAAATAGCTCAAACTATGAAAATTGTCTACAACAATATGTTCTTTTAGTACTGTGTTCCATGTTGTGAGTAATTTTTTTGTTTGGTGAGTCTGCACTTTTGACTTATAGAGTTTTTGAAAATTGTGTATTAAAATTGTTTGGTTGCAAAATCCTTTTCTTAAATACTAAATTTGAGAATTATCAATGAATTTGAAGTATGAGGCTAAATTGAATTTATACTAAATGTTTTCGTATGATTAGTTGGAATGTATATAAATCTTATCCAAATTACTATACTTTCGTCATTCATCACTCATACTTTGATTAATATTTTTACTATAAAGTGATGATCATCCTCTTGTTTAAACTTGCATATATTTGGCATCTTATGATTAATTGAGGGGGAATATATTACTATTTTCTATGGTTGACTTAAAGTTTTGATCTTATGTGACATACTCTTCCTATTTGCTAACTTTTTGAGATAGAATTTGAAAAATATTACATCTCTTATAAAAGATAAGGGGAATACATGTATAAAATATAAGGGGAATAATGTGATATCTAAATATTCTCTATGGTCATATTTTGATCTTAAATGTTATATATTTTTGCTAATGCTAAAAGAGAGAAATGCAGTGAGATGATTATGCATGCTTTGAATCGAAAATATAATATGTTTAGAGTATATGAACAAAAGGAAAAAAGTGAATGTATACTTTGAACATATGGTTTGTAAAAGTTAAGGAGAATATGAATTAAATGCTAAATTTATATTTCTTTATCAACTTGATATGAATTGTTCAATCCATCTTGCAAATCATCTTGTTTGTCATAATCAAAAAGGGAGGAAATTGTTGACCTATGGTTGACTTCATTCTCAATGTTTTGATCATAACAAATAAGATTAATATTGTTTCTAACAATTTATTTTGAATTATGATAGTTCAATGTTAAAGTCTATCAAGCATTATATATCGGACTTGAAATAAAGATCAAATTGAAAGTTTCTTATACATTCAAGTCAAATCATTCGAGACGAGAGCTTAAAAGATTAATGCCAAAAAAAGTCAAGATCGAAGTCAAGCATTGAAAACCAACAACAAGAAAGATAAAGATCAAAAGTTCAAGAGCCAAACATGGAAGAAATTTCGAAACAAGATCAAAGACTAGACTTTCTAGATCATATGTAAAGGTATAACACTTTGAGCTTTAGTAATGAATGACAATAGCTCAAAAATCATTTTGTGCATGAAAAGTTATTTTTCAGTATCACTTGCATAAAATATTTTTTATCAAAAGCAAGGTTGATTTTTTTTTTCAAAATCACACTTGAACTTGAATCACAATTCTCAAAAAAAAAAAAGAAAAAAAAAAGAAGTCAACAGTCAACCGAACATCCGATTCGCCAACGGTCAATTTTTTGTTACCATTGCACAACGGCTAATTTAGTCATCCGGTTGCTAGCGTATGTCCAGTAAGTCGTCCAGTTGAACAGAAATTTTTTCATTTTGATTTCTATAAATACCACTTCACTTCCATTCTTCACCATAACAATGAAGAGAGTTTTCTTGCAAGTCCGACAACGGGTTTTCCAACAAGCCTTACAAGGAGCTTTAGGAACTCTGACAAGAGAGATATATTTATGAAAAATCTTCTTTGAGCTTGACTTTTATTTTTATTATTTATTTCCTTATAACAAAAACTTTGATTGTTGAAATCAGATTTCTTTCATCAAAGTTTTGTATCTCTTCTTTTTCTTAACTTATTTATATTAATTTTGAAAGAGAGATATATAATTGAAGAAGTTCTTTGTACTTACATTGCGTGAACTTTTTCTACTTCTTCATATTGAAAACTTTGATTGTTGAATCAAATTTCTTGAATCATTTCTCTCATCAAAGTTTTCTTCTTTCATTGTGCTTAATTTATATATATCCATCTTAAATAAGAGATATATTTTTGAGGAAGTTCTTTGTGCATAACTTATTATATTCATTCATTAAAAGAGAGATATTTTTTTAGAAGATATTTTTGAACTTACATAGTATTTATTTCATAGAAAAATTTTGATTGATTGAATTAAACTTGTAAAATTATTATATTCATCAATGTTTCTCATTTCTCTCTTAGCACTTGATTTGTTACAATAATTCATTAAAAGAGAGATAATTCTTGAAGAAGATTATTTGAATTTACATTACATTTATTTCTTCATAATCTTCTCATTGAAACACTTTGATTGATTGAATCTAACCTCTAATTATTATATTCATAAAGGTTTTTCATCCAACACTGAGCTATCATTTGTTACTATTTATTGAAGTGTTGAACCTACTTCTCTCTTGATATATAATTGTGTTTGTATCATTTATTAAGAGAGAAGTTTTCACTTGTAATATTTCTTTTTCTTTTTTTTTTATTGTGGGTCATGTTGAGATCCCATAAAGCTCAACGGTGTAAAAGGATTGTTGCTCCTTATTTGTAAGTCATCAGAAGCGTTGTAAGAATGTTGAATTGCACCATAAGCCAATCAATATAGTGAAAAGGGCATTGCTCGAGACAGAGAGTTTGGTAACGGAGGACGTAGATCATTACATTGAATCGAACCTCCATATCATATCGTTTAACTTCTCTTCCCTTTTACTTATTTTTGCTTTTATTTATTAATTGTGATTTCATCTCAGTCTTTGCTCTTTTTCATATTTATGAGTATTTAATTAATTGCTACATTTAACTGAGCATTAGTTGTATACTTAAAACTATTATTCAAAAAAGTTGCTATAACCAATTCACCACCCTCTTGATTAGCTAGTCTTGGGCTTTTACAAGTCACAGGTCGTATCGTATGGGGCATAGATCAATGGTCACTGTGTATGGGTCACAAAACAATGTCCACAAGCTACGGGTCGATATGAGTAAGTCACAAATCAATAAAATAAGTTATAGATCAATGTTCATAAATCGCAAATTAATGTCCACATATCATAGATCAATGTCCATAGGGTCATAGGTCACATATCAAAGTGCATAAGTCACAAATCACAAATTTAAGAGATCTGCTCACACGCCATTGATATCTTCAACCTCAGTTTTCTGAATTGGTCACAAATTCAATTAATTAGGCTTCAACGGTGAGAATTGAAGTTATTTGCTCCAATAAGTACTCCGTAAATTACACCAAAGGCTTTTTTCAATTTTAGAAAATAGATTTAAATTACATCAATATTGCTATATTTTCGACAATGCTCAGTGATGTGATCCATGGCACGAAGGCAATCCAAGTAAGGATCCATTGATTGTTAAAGAATAGCCTATGACTGAGTCGCAAGTGAAGAGGGTTAATGAAGCGACGAGACTACTTACTCAAGCCACGGTGGACAAAACATTGATCATGGCTAGCAAATCAACAAGTTACATGTTCAGCTCAAAGGAAGACACGATATGGATCAACTTGATTCAAACCATAGACGGAGGGGCTGCAAGGTTACACTATGCGATTGCATAGTGCAACAAGGCATGCGATCGTATGCCTTCATGCAGAACATTCAACAGGAGGATCAACTTGATCTATGCCGCCATATAGTACACTTTTCCAAATTCACATCTTCTAATTATGTTAAAACTCTAATTTTTTAGTAACTTTTGTAATCTTTAGATTTATATTCCGTGTTAACTAAGGTTTTATGAGTTCCTTATAAATAGAACTCATCTTTTCACTGTAAACAATTAATTAACTTTTGTGAGATATTATCGAGAGGCATAATTGCTTTCAAACTTTGTTTTTCATTGAAATAATATTCGAACTTACCAAAATTTATTTCTTGTGGCGTTCAAACAATCCGATCGAAATTCTCGAGTTTTGTGATTACAGGTCAATATATTATCAACGATTATGTCATTTTTTGGTTCAATATTTTTATATCAAATTCTAAACTTTGATTTCTTGTCTTTCTTGGGTTGAATCAATCCTGTGTGGATTTCGTAGCTACCATTGCTACGTGGGTTCCCATCACTCGGTCAATGTTTTCCAATGACCACTATGTTTTTCTCTCTATCTCCACTATTTGAGTTGGCACTGTTCAATCATCGCTGAGAAACGATCAATTCACTCGTTAAAGAAGTTGTCAATGATTTCTGTAGATTCTGTCTTCCCTCCAGTGAAGTTATTTGGATGCTGGTGACTACGTGGATGAATGTCAATAGGTGGATGCCAACGACTATCTAGGGAAATGACCATGTATGCGTGCGCAGGAGTGGGATGGAGTGACAAATGGGAGTGGATAGATTAATTTAATTTAATAATGTTATTTAAAATTAAAATATTGAATTAACTCGTGACTTTTGTAATTTTAAACTTAATCTCTGGAAATTGAAATGGTGCAAAATTAATACTTGATATATAATTTTTTCCCATAAAAGAATAACATTTGCTCTTAAAAAATAGATGGGCCAAGCCCATGACGGTCAAGGTTTTAGATGGGCCAGACCTATTTTAGCGGGTCAGTCCAATTGTGCCCTAAGGTTGTGGCCCTGGGACAAATTTTATTTTCCCTTGAAAGGAAGAGAAACTGGCTTGTCCGACAAAAATTGATAAACTTGGATAGAATGTGAATAGAATAAATCATTACTTGTATCAACGAACGAGTCACCAGAACTTTACAAGTACATATGAGTCAAACTCCAAGCAGAAGATAACATTCCAACCACCAGGCCATTTTTTTAGTTCATATATGTTTACGGGGGATTTTACTTTGAAATGTACATAAACTTCTGCAGCTTAGAAAAACTTCACCAGGCTTGAGTTGCCCTAGTCACGCCAAGAGTAACAGCAATAATAGCAAGAGTTGCCTGCAGTAACAGACCAATAATAATAAATTTTCTTAAGTCAAGATGACAATATCACTAATCAAGTAGAATTTCAAGATGAGAAGTTGAAACAGAGAGACAAAATCACATGTATAGAATATAATAATAGGACTGTGCTCAAGCCTAAAACCTACTGCGCAAAAATTGGCCCAAACTCTGGCAAGATTCGATAATTAGGTTTACCAACCACTATTTGCAGCCTATCTGCCACCGGTTATTCTTCTTTTTCAAAAGCCTGCTTAAGTCTCATTTTTTGCCCAAAATGCATTTTGAAATAGTATTTTGATGGAGAATATGTGATTAAAAAAAA